TTTTCTTTTCACAATGGTGAGATATTTTAATAAAAGTGACACCTGCTCTCTAAGAAATAAGACGCAGAACTCTGAAGCCCGGTTCTCCAGGCCTCATCCCTCTGTGGGAAGCAGCACGTAGCTGGAAACCTCACACCTCCTGATCCCTAGCGTGGACGTCTGTCCCCATCAGTTCATACAGAGGACCCACCTGCTTTGACCACAGCCACAAGCCCACGGAGTGGAACGTGCTATGGTCGACTTACATCCCAGTGGGTGGTCACTTAGGGTGTTTTGTGTCTATTGTCACGACACCCTGCCCTCTGCCATGCGCTTGCTCAAGCACCGCAAGGCAAAGTTCTAGAAGCGGGCGGCTGGACCATGGCAAGAGCACCTCGAATTTCAGTGGACCATACTGATGCTCTGCCCTCGACACAGAAGTAGCAACTCGCCACCCCCTCCCCCCCAGGACCCTTCTCTGCTTGTGCCACCAAGCCCGACGGCAGGGGACCCACCAGACTTCACACCCTGGGCTGTTTTCTTCCCTTCCTTGCAGCTTCTGCTCTATCTTGGGTCTTTCTCCAGCTGAACTTCCAGCTGTTTTCTCTCCTCTACTTCCCAAGATGCTTGGGGTGGGCTTAGTGTTTCCTCCCCCTCTGGGGGGCCCCACACCCACCCTCTGAGGTGGGTGCTGACTACACTCACAGCCTGGAGAGGCTCACATGGGAGCCCATCAGCCAGAGGCATCTGTGGGTCAAAGTGTGTGTGTGTGGGGGCAGCAGGGCAACACAGCAGCCAAGGGTGGCCCCATCCCTGTGTCCCGCCATCTCTACCAGCCTCAACACTACCACCTGCTGAAGCCACGCCACTCCTCACCGTCCAGGATTTCCTGTTCTCACTGCCAGCCCGAGCTTCTCACCGACTCAGCTTCCCCATTTCTCTGCCTTTCCTGACCCTGCCACCCCAAGGTCCTTGCTGCCTTACACTTGCTGCTGGAGAGAGTCACTGGAGCCACTTGACACCCAAGTCCTCACCCGTACCCCAGGGAGACTACAGGTCCTCCCTGGGGAAGCACTCACAGATCCACAGGAGAGTGCATGACAAGCACTGTGGCCCCATGTCCCCACCACACCAGGGAGGCGGGGATGCTCCAGCAGGGCTGTCCACAGAGCCCAGAGGTGGCAGCCACTCAAATACCCGTCGGTGGACAGATGGATAAGCAAGCTGGGGCAGATCATGCCATCCCTGACCCTGAATATAACTCAGCCACAGGAAGGCCTGAAGTTCCGAAGCAGCCTATAACCTTGATGTCATCCACCTGCTGTGGGACCCCATCCATGCAAAGGCAAAAAACCGGGGTCTCTATAGACAGAAGTAGACTAGGGCCTGCTTATGGCTGGATCTGGGGATGAGGGTGGTGGGCTACATAAGAGGTGTCACGTAAAAACACGTCCAATGATGAGTTGGCCAAGACGATTCCTGTTAGACCGCCAAAGGTAAACAGAAAAATAAATCCTAGGGCTCAGCTCACCGTATCGCAGGGGATCATTTGAGGCTCCCTCCACATAGAGTGGCCAGGCAGCTGAAGCCTTGTGTTGGAATTGCAGTACTCACAGCTGCTGATGTGAAATGGGCTCGACTATCAACGTCTATTCCTGTGTCAAGATGTGGTGGGCTCAGACCCCATAAGCCCTAAGCAACCGATGGATATCATAGCTCATACTATTCCTGTATAACCAAAGCATTCTTTTTTTTAAAAAAAAAAATTACTTTTTAGTTTTAGGTGGACACAATCTTTATTTTTATGTAGTGCTTAAAATCGAACCCAGTGTCTCACGCATGCTAGGTGAGCACGCTACCACTTGAGCCACATCCCCAGTCCCGAAAGGGTTCTTTTTTTTACCTGAATAATAAGTAACAGTGTGTGAAATAATGCCAAATCCAGGTAAAATAAGAATATATGGGCTGGGGATGTGGCTCAAGCGGTAGCGCGCTC